AAGACGCCAGCTGGTGTCACTGCACTGTGATGGGACCTCTCCTCTGCTGACTCTGCCGTTTCTCCAGGCCTCCTCAGTGATGAGACCAAGAGATTGGAGACGGGCATGGTGCTGCTGCTGCAGAGAATCCCCGGGACCCCTTTGTTCCCACCTGCTTTCCTGGGCTGGGCACAGGAAACCTGCCAAGTTCACTCACACCTGTGCTGGGTCCCAGTTGCCCCTGACAGGGCCTCTTTTTGTTAAGTGTGGACATTCCAGGTTCATAAGTGTGAACAGAAGAAAAGAGGAGCCCAGCAGATGTAACAGAACCGACTCCGGTTGAATGTTTAGGTTTTTGCTAAACTTTGTGTTTATTTTTCCCTCTTTGCTGTGGTTTGCATTAACAGGAGTAGTTATTTAGCCCAGGTGTGGGGAATGAGAGTGCATCGCTTGATGGAGTCTGACGAACTGAGAATAATCCACCACTGCAATTGGTAATTGTTTTACAAGGAAGGAGTATTTTCATTTGGGGGACCAGCTAAATCTCTGCAAAATTCCAAATGGTTGTTTTATTGTTGGTTTGGTTTACCAAAAAAAAAAAAAAGTTAGAAAAAACTTTTATGGGCTTTGGCTTTTCTGCCTCATGCACAGAAGGGAGAAGGGGATAAAGCCACAGCCAGAGAGAGGGTCCAACAAATCTGACCAAACCTTCTAGGTGCAGAGCAGAGAAGGATGAAGAGGTGTTTTTCTGGTTGGTTGGTTGGTGTTTTTACTGTATTGTGGGGGAGGGGAGGGGGAGGTAAGCTAGGCTGAGCAGTGGGGCGGTGTTTTTTTCTCTTTCATGTTTTCCCCTTCTTTATCTTTGAAAGCTTCACCCCGTGGCCTGAGTTCTGAATTCCTTCTAGGAACCTGGCTTAGTGGGGCGAGAATGTCAAAAGCTCCCTGTTGCTCCTACTTGGAGAGAGGCGAGCCATCTAGTGGTCAGGAAGGCCTTTTAGCTGATCCAGACGCGCAGCTTTTCCCATGATGGTGGCCGGAAAATGTTACTGGAGGAAACATGGAATAGTGCCCCCAGCTGCCGGTGGACCTGCCCCGGGAGGAGGCTGGGGCTGGGAATCAGTCACAGAGCCTGTTCGCTGTGAGCGTCTTTCTGTTGCACCTCTCTTTGGAGTTGCAGAAGCCCCTGCGCTGAACTTCAGTCAAACGGATCGCGGTCAGTCTTACTCTCCTCCCGCACCCCCACCCCCACCCCGGGCCCCGCTTTTTTTTTTTTTTTTTGCTGTTTCATTGCTGATGGCATTCAACAGCAGTATACCCCATCTTTCTAGTATATCCTAAGAAACACTAATCATAGGTTATTAGGTGAAATATTTTTGTTCTGAATAACATTGTTTCTGGGCCAAAAGACAGGTCAGGATCCTCAGCCTGTAGCTTCCTGAAGTTGCCGTGCTGGGCACAGGGGGAGAGTTCCTGGGTATTGGCTGACTTGGGTGGGCTTGGCTGGGAGAAAGGCAGCAACATGTGTTCTGTCCTTTCTGGGATGATCCCTGAAGACTTCAGGGAGGCTCCCCAACTTCTGAGTGGCTTGGCCCACCCATTGCTGTGGGAGTGGGGATTGGTTATTTAAGAGAGGGGGCTTTGCTCTCTGTTAATGGGCAGGTTTTCTAGGCTCTCTCTTCTGTCTCCCCTCTCTGTGCCCTCTCCTGGCATGCCCCGGGGGGGGGATCAGGGACCCTCACCCTCCTGAGGCCCAGCTGGGGAAGAATGAACACGGCAGCTTCAAGATCAGTTGAAGCTGCTGCTTGCCCGGCCTCTTGCACCCCACCCGTGTCTCTGAGCCCAGGTCTGTTGTCACTGTTGCAGGACACTTGTAGCAGGGGACTGTGGAAGTGCGTTGGGCTGGGGTGGGACTTTCCCTCCCACAGTGCACTGAGCAGTGGAGGGTGGTGAGGGGTCAGGGAGCCATGCTGCTGAATTCTGGTTGACACTCCCCCCTTGTACAAGACGGGGAGGCTGGGGGCAGGGCAGCCTCTGCTTGGTTCGGTTCTGAGGTAACCCTGGAAGCACAGTTATCCCGTTGGATTATTTGAGCAAAAAACTACTGTAAATAACTTGGGTTTTTGTCTTTTGTCAAATAAAGTTTTTGTTTTTTGGTTTTGGTTTTGTTTTTCAAAGCAGAAGGATTGATCCACTATGACCCTGGGCCCAGCCTGGAGACAGGACAATTGCTGAGTTCTTACTCTGCCCTACCTCTTTCACCCTCCCTCTAGTAGCTGCCTGTAAGTGTTGTGTACTCTGCATCCCTATTTCCTGGGCCTCACGAGTATTCCACATTGTCTTCATCACAGTGTGCAGGGGGCATATGTATCCCAAGCTGGACCAGTCTTCCTTTGCGTCAGCAGTCAAGATTTGGGGTTGCTAAGTGGTAAGGGAACTTAGTGAGCTGGTAACTTTGTCCCCCCCTCTCCTAATGAGGAAGGAGCATGACTACAGTATGAAGCCAGCACAGAAAGAAGCAGAGATGTTATATGGATACTCTAGACATGTCTGAAACCAGTACCGTCTCTGGACTTCCCTATTATGTAAGCTAGTAAATTCCCCTTTTTGCTTAAGCTACCTGTGGTAGCATTTCTGTTGAAATGACTGTACGTTGTAATTGCAGCCCAAACATCTCTTAACTTTTGTTCACACAAACATTCACAAAAAAGAAAAAAATGAGAGGGCTTCCCTGATGGCGCAGTGGTTAAGAATCCGCCTGCCAGTGCAGGGGACACAGGTTCGAGCCCTGGTCCAGGAAGATCCCACATGCCGTGGAGCAGCTAAGCCCGTGCACCCAGAGCCCATGCTCCACAAGGAGAAGCCACCACAATGAGAAGCCTGCGCACCGCAATGAAGAGTAGCCCCTGATCTCCGCAATTAGAGGAAGCCCACGTGCAGCAACGAAGACCAAATGCAGCCAAAAATAAATAAATTTTTTAAAAAATGAGATACTCTTCTCATAGGTAAAGAAATGGGATTCAAGTTACTTGCCTGAACTTACACAGCCAGTACTAAGTGGAACTAGGATATGAATTCCAGTCTGTCTTGCTTTAAGGTCACCCTGAGGTCTCTCCCTCTCATATAAACTAGTGATAGGCAGTTCACTGCCTACTGGCATCCAGCTATCTAACATGGTTTCGGCTAAGCACTAGAAGTTTCCTCCATTGAACCAAATCGGCTTCTTTCTGATTTCTCCCCAGTACCCTGGATGGAGGATATTGAATCTCCCCCACAGGTCACTCTCCTTTAGGAATTTGGAGATGCAGCCTCCCTGCTCAAGTTCCCAGATTAAAGTGCCCCAGCTTCTGTAGCCATTCATCCAGGGTCCTGGTTTTCCCACTCCCTCCATCAGTATCCCTCAGCTGGACACTTGGCCCTGGGGCTTGGCAGAACAGGAACATGCTGGAAGGGCTCTTCAAAATAAGAGTGACACTCATTTTACATGTGGAAAATAAGTACTAATATTCCCCTAAAAGGGGCAGTGATTTGGATGGTTCAGCTGCCTCAGGAGAGATGGCTTCTTACAAATACTTTTCAAAGAACTGAAAATAAAAGTATCTTCTGTATCCAGCTTCAGACTGATGAGCCCTGGAGTGAGCAAGCACTCTAGATAATGAGAGGTGACAGGGACAGTGTGGCTAGGGCCCCTCTCTGAAGCTAGGAGTGTTATATACGGACATCTGCCTGTCGTGTAAGACTCTCATTTAGGAAATAGCTTTTTAAAGGCATTTCTGCTCCTTAGTCTGAGTACCTGTGGTTGGGTTGGCTGACTCTGTGTGTATGCCCCTATTCTTCACAAGGGGGCCATGATGATGCTTCAAGTCCTTAGTTATCAATGTGACCTTAGGCCCTGTGTCCAGTAGTAAAGGAAAAGGAGAAGTGGTAATGATGGGGGTGGGGGTTATGCCTTTAGACTGACAGTCAAGGAAGGCCTCTTCCTTTCCACTGTTTTTGAGAGTGGTGATTTCTCCATGGACCCCCAGCCTCACGGACCCCACTGGGAAACTTCCCCAACTCAGCCCCAAGAATAAGAATCCCTAGGGAGGGCTTCCTTGGTGGCACAGTGGTTAAGAATCTGCCTGCCAACACAGGGGACACAGGTTCGAGCCCTGGTCCAGGAAGATCTCACGTGCCGCGGAGCAACTAAGCCTGTGTGCCACAGCTACTGAGCCTGTGCTTTAGAGCCCGTGAGCCACAACTACTGAGCCCGCGTGCCACAACTACTGAAGCCTGTGCACCTAGATCCCGTGCTCCGCAACGAGAAGCCACGACAATGAGAAGCCTGTGCACCGCAATGAAGAGTAGCCCCCGCTCACCGCAACTAGAGAAAGCCGGCGCCCAGCAACAAAGACCGAACACAGCCATAAATAAATAAATAAATAAATTTTAAAAAAAGAAGAACTATAGCAACACTGTAATAAGACATTCATTTATTTTAAAAAAAAGAATCCCTAGGGATTCAGACTCTGGATTATTTATTTATTTATTTATTTAGGCTGCTCCGGGTCTTAGTTGTGGCACACAGGATCTTTAGTTGCAGCACACAGGATCTTTAGTTGCATCATGTGGACTTCTTAGTTGCAGCATACATGTGGGATCTAGTTCCCCAACCAGGATTGAACCCAGGCCCCCTGCATTGGGAGCACAGAGTCTTACCCATTACCACCACGGAAGTCCCTGGATTTTAAAACTACACTCTAGGGACTTCCCTGGTGGCACAGTGGTTAAGACTCTGCACTCCCAATGCT